CCCTGTCCCCCCATAAGGCTTTGCAGTCTTGCCATGCTGTCCATTGAAAGCCAGTTGGCTAGAAAGCTGGACTTCAAGGACTTGATCAGTGACTTAGCCTGTAAGAAGGCTAGGCGCTGGGCTCTTGGTGAGTAAGGCTGAGCCAGGGCTCGTAATAACTGTTAAAGGGCTATGGTAACGATATTGGATCACTACACAGAAGATGCATGATGAGAAAAAGACTGAGAACAGGCTCTGATTTAGCACCACCATCAGGCCTTTTCACTTCCATTTCCGTTTTGTTGTCCGTTTACACATTAATACCTGCTTATTTTGTAGTTGGTATGTATATTTAATTAAAAAATCTGCTACTTATGGTTATTTTTTGTTATAGCATTTTATAAATGATAATATTGGTGTTAATGTTCACTTTATTTTCATGGAAATTTAAGTTATATTTATTTAGATTTATGAATGTTCCATTCAAAAATGTTATTAAAAAGGCATGTACTGTACACCAATAAAAGATGACTATTGAGGTCTATTGTCAGGAATGTTAGTGTTATATCAAATAGTGAATTATACTGCAGCAGAATGTTGCAGTTGAATTTGCAGTCGGCACAGTGTTATATTTCACCGCTCAGTGTCAGTAAATATTGTGCAGTTAGCATTGGACTACAAGATAGATGCAAGCCTGTACAGGTAGAGTTATTTAAAGCATAAATGAGTCGGTTGGGTTCTGGAGGTGTGGTTACAGCATTGTGCTTGGTTGGCGCGGCCTGTGCCTGGTGGTGATGCCCAATGTGATATATTTTCATGGGGCCCAAAATCCCTGGCGGTGCCCCTGACAGTGAGCTCATTATATGTTTGCCAAAACACGTTTATTCCAGGTGAAATAGGGCCTATTACTCTTTGTGCATGTAAACAAATGTGAGTGTGAAGGGGAATGTCTTGCCTGTGTCATTAGAGTAGTAGTTTGCAGAACAGATGGCACACTCGTAACAGCAGGTGTGTGGACCCTTGGTGGTTTTCTTTGACTCCCCAGGTACGCAGCTTTTGGAGCATTTGGAGATGATGTGCTGAGGAAAGCAGGGAGACAAAATTATCCAAACATTGTTTTTGACTTTACATATTATGTCTTTAAATGAGTTACATTGTATTGTTTTACTGAAGGTTGCATTACCATATGGTTGTACTAAAAACCAGTTTTCTGTATCGCTTGAATCAGCATAGATGGTGTGACTGTGTGTAGTAAACACACACTGCAGCATGTGGGGGTCATGTACAAAATAACTGCCATATGAAGGGCCTACCTTCAGAGCATTGAGCTGTTGGGTGGTGCTGTGGTTGCTGTGGGTGAAGCTGTTGTTGTGCGGGTGATACTCAGCCACGACATTCCGGACGTGGATGTTCTCTCCGTCTGACCTCCACATGGTCACGTCGTAGCCCAGGTTGATGTCTCCGCTGCTGTCAAACTTAAAGCTCTTGTCTCTCAGTTTAAACTCCTCCATCCACATAGCTTTCAGCAACTACAGGATAAGAGACATTTCATTATCCAATAGTATCTTTGATTACTCGATTAAACCACACAATTTGAAGGAACATGTTGTCTTCTATTAACTTGTAATACAAGTTACTATTCATTAGTCATTTTGTATCAAGGCCACATTCCAAGTTCTTAACCTTAAATGCTGCATAGTGTTCTATCGCAAATAAATGATTTTTCCACAGCACACAGCTGGGATCGGAGCCTTTGTTGGGGGAGGTCTAAAAGATGGCCAATTCTCAATGTCACTGGAAATATACCTAATACGTTGATTTAGCGGCTTATTTTAACGATGTAATCTCATGATTCCTTCTGATATTATTGCAGAACTGCTATTAGCTAGCTAGCTACATTTGCCAACAAAAATTAATGAAGTAAAAGTACAAGTTATCACAATGTATTTTAATTGTTTACTAAAGTACAATATTTGAGTAAATGTACTAAGTTACTTTACACCACTGAGCCTGTTTGCACCTGTCGGCCACCGTACTTCTTCCCTCTCTGGAACGGCCTCATGTGGACCTTACAGATTGTATGATTACCTCCCAGGGCTGCACTGTGCCGGGGGTTCTGCAGTCTCTGTTCCTGCAGACTGAGACCAGGGCATGAGCGATGGCGCTCACAGCCATCTCCACACTGAAGATGTTGCCGGCATGAGTGTGTTCTCTGAGGGTTTCCACAGCCTTAGACACCAGCTCAGTGTCTCCATAACCTTCACTAGCATTCAGCTGCGTGTAGAACTCCTGCAGGAAGACGTTATCCCCTGTATCGTCATGTCCAGCTGCCTCCAGTCTGCTCAGGTACTCATTGAATGACGATAGGTCTCCACTTTTGAAGGTGAAGCCCAGAACATGTCCCATTTCCTCCAGATGTATGTTTTCCTTCACGGAGCTGGAGGAGGACCAGCTGTCACTGGCCACCCAGACTCTTCTCATAGACTTCCTGTCCTGTCCTCCTCTCAGCATCTGGTTCTTAAGCTCCTGGTAGAGGTACACCATGAGAGTGGGCTTGGCAAATGACACGATCACCTGAGCCTCAGGATTCTCAAAGATGGTCCTGGCAGTCTGAGTGATAGCAGACCGGACGTCCTGACTGCCCACTGCCTGAGGTATGATGGATTTGAAGGCCACACAGATCCCATTTTTGGAAGCCTGGGACACAAAGTTCTCAAAAGCTGATTGGCCGTAATTCCCATCAGTGATTACTACCCCCACCCAGGTCCAGCCGTAGGTGCTGAGCAGACTGACCATGGCAGCAGTCTGGTGCCTGTCATTAGGAATGGTCCTCATGAAGGCAGGGAATCGCCTCTTATCACTCAGAGTGACAGCAGTGGATGAATAACTGATCTGGAGAAGAGAAATACAGTAATGTGCATTTCAAAGATGTGTCATTTAATTTGAAAGGCCACTTCAAAATGTATGTGGATGCCTACAATGCAGGCTTGAGGAGTAATTCATTACATGTAACTGGATTACGTAATCAGGATACAAAAACAGCTAAATGTATTCCCTTACGGCCCGTCCACACGACGGCGTGCGTTGTCGCTTGCCAGCGGGCATGTCTGAAGCTAGACCAACAACCAATCACCTGAATCTCCCACTCCGGACACACAAGCAGCGGTTTGATTGGCTAGAGCTTGTACTGGCATGATTCGATTGGCTGACGCTTCCGTCGAAGCTTCAAAAGTCGAACATTGCTCAACTTTGCAGCGAGCACCGCGAGAAAAGCTACGCTTTGCTCCACAATGCAGTTTGGCGATGTGTGACATC